TGGCATGAAGCAGAACAGCCGCTTGCCAAGGGACCACAGCACTACCCAAGAGTTGGCGAAAGGAGGTGAGGAACCCTGCGATATCCATTGTAGTGGTTGGGGAAATAAGAGTAGTACAATGTGATTAGCCCACTTGGAATTTGGCCAGGGCAAGGGAGATGATGGTTCTTTATGAAAGGTACCAAAGGTACACATCTGTTCAGGCCTGGAGGTTTACAGGACAAATCGGGTAGAGTACCTCATGCTTCTGCTGAAACAGTTTAGTCTTAAAACCAGAAAGCAGCATGCCCTTTACCAAAGCACCACTGAAACTATTTGTTCTACAAAAATCAAAGCTTTCTTACTAATCAGACTTGACAGGATTGCAAACTCAAGACATTCTGTAAACTAGCACCAGATAAAGTGGATGAACCAGGGAATGCCTTCCGATTCTGGATTTTGGTAGTTGTGTATCGAGTCCCATTCTTACTCTGGAGTCAGTATGGCCAGAGGAGGATGGACTGTGAAACAGCTTCTGCCTCTGATCCGCATAACAGACAAATCACTCAGCCTCACCAGAATACCCAAAAACAGATAATCCCAATCTTCTAATGATGTTTTAAAATAATCCAGAAAAAGGCCTTGTTTACATACTGTGTATTATTTCTCCTACTGATATGTAAAACACTGGGATTAAGTATCTTTTGTTGACAACACGTCAGAAGAGTAAAGTGACAGACAGCTGAAGAAGAAATGCAAACGTTTTTTGGCCATTAGGATAAGCAGGAAGAAGGAAAATAATCTGAAAGTATTCTCACATCACTGCTACAAGAAGTTACAAGACAATGAAAAGAACTTGCACTTCAAGGGGATGTGCTGTTTACTAGTAACAGCAAAAAAGACCGACTCCTTGGTTTTGGATTACCAGCCCTCTTAAAATTACTCTTTTCATTGTGAACTGTTGCCACTACAACTAACCTACTTAATTTCTATAGTAAGTCTCTTCCATTAGCTTCTCCACAGTTTGTTCTATCATGTCTTGCTTTGTAAGAGTACTCAGGCCTTCAGCAATAGGCTTTTAGCTTTTCCACATCCAGTACCCCCGTAGTCACAGTCTCTCCTTTTGCAGCAGCTGCCCCAAGGTGCCTCCAGCCATCTTGTCACCAGATGCACATTGTAATCCTTCTGCCAGGGACAGTGTCATTGCCCTTAACCACAGACTTATCTGGTAGATCTACTGTAGGGAGTTAGGAAGGAAAAGCAAGTCAACTTCTCCTCAGAGAGCACAACTACCAGCTTAAAGACAAGTTAGTGGTGACTGAATTCTTTTAGCTGTGCTGTTGTGCTCTGATTTTACTCTCATAATGCACCAAGGTCACCTCAGGTCCCGTTCCGCTGAAGCTGTGAGCACACAGGCACACCCCCAGCCCAGAGAAGGCCACAACACAGTGCACTTGGGGTAATATGGTTGTAACCCACAGAGCTGCAGTTAACAGGTGAAATGCCAAGGCTGTAGAAGCAACATTTTAACTGTATCCATACAGACATGGTGTCTTTACTCTAAAAAGAAAGCACCAAGTTTGTTTGATCAGAGAAAGCAAATAATAAGTTATTTTGTTTTAAATAGGTTTAAAGAAGTTTCAAAGGCTCTCTCTGATTGTTGACTGAAAAGCCAAGTACTTCACCACCACCCACTCAGCTGATGCAGTGGGAAAAACCACTGCCCCACACAATGCTAACTGTGGAGAGGTCAGCCAGGGCCTTGCTAGAGCTCTTCCAGGCTGAGGTGAACCAGCCAGGCACAGGCACTGGCTGTTGACAAGGGTAAGCAGGAATTTAGAGGTCAGCATTTACTAAACCTAAAGAGACCCTGTTGAGCAGACCATTACCTGTAAGGAGTAGTAAGCAAAGTTAAGCATTAAGTCAAGAACTGAATTCCAAGTGGTGTACAGAAAAAAAAAAAAAAAAAAAAAAAAAAAAAAAAAAAAAAAAAAAAAAAAAAAAAAAAAAAAAAAGAGGAAAGCAGAACCCTGACCTTCATCCAGGACCTAAATGTAGCTATAACTAGCAGATATACTCCAAGAGCCACAGCGTTACAGGTTCTCACCTTCATCCAGGTACTGAAGCCACTGTAAATGAAGGGGGATCCCAGTCAACAATTCTAAATGGGACTCCAGCTTCTACACAGTCAAGTAATTCTGGCATCGAGGCAGTGAAAAGTTCTCCTTAGTTTCAGGTAGGTCGAGCTGGACAGTGAAGGTCCATGGGGATGAGGACAGCATGGTCGTGAAGTGGTTCCTGACTAGGAAAAGATCGTGAGACTGGCCTCTTCAAAAAAGCTTATGATCTTGATAAAGGCAGGGGTCTAGATCTGGTAGTAATTCCTCCCTCCCCCACTGATTCCCCTCATATCACCGAAGCCCTCCCAAGCATAGATCCCCACATGCAGATGTGTACGTAAGCACATCACAGCATCCGAGCAGCATAAAGTGCCACCACAGAACCGGGCTGCACATGTGATAGAACAACCTATAGGAACTTACCAGAGTGCACCAGAGGGGTTAAAGACTTTTATTCCTGCCCATCACTGGATTTTCACTAGGATGACAATCTTACTCAGAGAAACAAATTAGTAACTCAGGTAAATACCCGAAGTTGCCTGTGTTTTATGTTCTTGGTTTTGTCTAGATCTCAATGTACATGTTTAGTCTAATGCACAACAAAAAGATCAAACAGCTGTTTGTTTTCAGATTACTACATAAGAGTCTTGTGCCCTAACCCAAAGCATGTGGGCAGGCTTTACCAGGGGCTGCAGGGACTCTCCTCACTTTTGCATCAGCTAAAATCCTGCAGAGAAGAGTGTGGAGGTCAGATATTCTTTTGCAGCAGCTGACAGAGGTTGCAGAGCACAGGATGGAACAGCCTGAAGGGTGATTGCAGCGGTACAAGGTAGAGAAGACTCTTGAGTTAGAAGCAAAATCCACCAGCCAGGTGTTGATGATGGATTTCCCTTCCCCACTCCAAGGCCTAACAAGTATACAAAGTCTGTTAATGTGAGAGCAACACCACACTGAAACAAACAGTCCAGAACGTCCCTCCCTGCTCAAGTTTGGAGAGGGAAGAATTCAAGATCAAGATCTGAATGTCAGTCTCACCCCGCACACACAAGTTCTCTTCATTTAAAACGTATCTGTAAGATTTTAAGTTTTGACAGTGATTTTAGTTCCAAAGCATTTTCAGCACGCTCACTTCAAGAAAAAGTGAAAGATGGGTTACTTCAAATCTCTGGACACTTAACAGATCTTTTACTACTCAGTATGATGAATTCCACTCTCAACCCCAGTTGGACAGATGACAGCATTTCCGCCAGGGAGAAGTTTCTTTAACTGAAGAAACACACTCACATCCCAGCTAGGACAAAACTCACATTACCACAAGTTGGTTTATAAAACAGTCACAGGATTTATTGAGATAAATACAAATAGAAAGTTACATAGATTCTCTATTCTGACAAATGACACTTCCAGAGTGTCCCCACTTAACTCGAGCTCCAAACACCACTGTGCACAGACACAGCCGCCACCAGGCAGCACCCTGCCCCGTGCCAAGCCTGTCTGGTGCTGAGATTCCAACCAGCCTCAGCTCTAAGCAACATGACTAACATGCTTTGGATTACAAGTTCTTGATCATTTCCTACAGCATCCAAGCAATATTGCACCCACTAACGTTATTTTCATGTTCCTTAGCTCAAAATGTTTAAAAGTGATGTTCTTGCTGCTGTTATGGATCAACTACCTAACTTTGCTCCATCTGGCTTTTAAAATACATATTTTTGCATAATTTAAACAACCCAGAGAATTGTATGTGAACACACCGCTTTACTCATCATTGCATACATTTGTCTAGTACAAGACGTAAAGTGCGGTCTTTAGTCATGCTGAAGTCATTTCTAGTTTAAAATGAAATGAAAAAGACAAACCTTGTGGAGGGTAAGTCTGTTTACTAGACCTGCACATTGTCTACAAAAAACCCACCCCAAAACTATGATGTCCCCCATTAGTGCATGCAACTCTAGAGTTTTAAAAAAAGTTTTTAAATGCTCTACTGAAATCATAAATTAAAGCAGACATGATTTCTGGAGCCAGAGAGGTACCAAAATATTGTTAAAAACAAAGAACTTCGTTTAGCCTTTTAGTGAACTTCTATAGCTGGTGACTTACTGTTTATATATATTCTAATTAAAAACTTAGTGAACACTTGCCAAACATGCTAAAACATATAGAAGTTTGCGTTCTCCAGTGGATTATTGCAAGTAAAGGTAACTATTTAAGATTATCTGACAAACAGAAACTTGGGTTGGGTTAATGTTCAGAGTATTTAATTTATATACAGTACATTTCAAACATACTTACATATACACACACTTAAAATTTGTTCAGTGCTGAGAAATTTAATGAACTGATAATAAAAAACAGAAGTAAAACCTTGTCAGAAAGGCCTAGAAAATCTGAACTGTTAGAAAATACCAGTATAATGCCAGCATTAGAAAAAGACATTAGAACTAGAAAAAATTAACTTCACGGGTCTTTGTTAAGAAATTGCAATCATAAAAAGTCTGTACTGAAGAAGTATTTGTTTTAAATTATAAAAAAATTGTAAAAAATTAAATGTAGAACGTTGCAGAATTTACAGAGTTTATACTGTTTGCTGTAACAGCCGTGGTATAATTCTGCCTGAAACTTCCAAAAACACATTTTGTGATCTCACAAGAAAACAATTTGTTACAAATACTGTACATAATATAATACAAGACTAAACTTATACAAAACTGAGCCCTCCAAAAATATAGAACCCAGCTGAGGAACCTACTTGCTGTATTGCAGACAAGCCAGATTTAAAACAAAAAAGAAAAAGAAAATAGTAATTTCTGTAAAAACCTTCACCCATGTGAACTACTTACTAGTGTAACAGTGAAATAAGGGGAAATATTTACATAGATCTATATATGATTAAGTATTTTGTTCACAGAGAGAAAGTAACTGTTACTACATGAAACCATTTCTTCAGTATTTAAACTTTAGTTTTTGAACAGGACAAAGTTCCAATCCACAATCAAAAAAAAACAAACCAAACGACTTTTTCCCAGGCTGCATGTTATCTGCGGATTTGGAACACAAGAGAACAAACAAAAAGTGTTAGCTTTGTAATTTTTCAAACTTCAGAAGCCATCTGATTTTATTAACAGAAATTTGTTCTACCTGTATGTTCTTTCTTCTAAAAGACCTGTTTAAATACACAGGAGGCATCCTACTTAAGCACCTCAGTAACCTTGATTTGTTTACTCCAACTGTTACCATACAATCAACAGAAGTTAGAGCAAACTGCATCACCACCTTTCCCTAAACATCTGTTATTTGGGGTTTTTCAGACTTTAGAGGTCCTTTGTTTCTTAGGAACAGAATAGCAGGTTGCTTGGGATTTTAACACTGGTCAAAAGGTGTTTAAATAATGTGTGTATGTAAAACAAACAATAACTTATGTTCATAAATTCTGTAATACCCTTCTACAGATACAGCACGTGTCGCAGGAACCAAATCCCTTAAATGAAGTGAACTTTGCTAGGGAAGAATGAGCGATTTTGAGTTTGGTAAATTTACAGCTTACCTACCACTCTTGAGAGCCAGCAGTAACAAATAAAGAGACAGTTAACACCTGTAAGGAAGTCACAATATACAAAGAATCTTAAGCCCTCTGTGCTTTGAAAAATATCACATTAAGTCAAAATAAACCATGCCTTAATTCTGGCAAAGTAACTACTTCGCAAAATGAAATTACTTTTGAGCTTTTTCCCACTGATACAGAATTAAGTTCTTCATTGTTTTTTGTTAAAATTCAAAACTATTCACATATATACATATTTTTTTAGTTAAAATTCAATACTTGAAACAATAGAAAAACCCTACAATTTCTTTCCTCACAAAGTAGTGAGGGAAGAATATCTTTGTGTAAGTCTGCTATAATCAGGTTTTAAGATTTTAAAACCATTTTAAGCTTATAGAAGACTGCTTTATTACTGGAAATGTTTTGCTAAAAAATGAAATATGAACTGAAACACTGAGTATGGCGTAAGACATACAATACTTAACTGCAGGCGAGATCAGAGTTGTCACCCACATTTACATAGAAAAAAAAACAAAAGGAATTACTCATGCATATCAGACACACAGCTGTAGATGAAACGTGGTCATGAAGATCATAACATTTCTCAATAGACCCTTTCCAGGTAACAGAAACCTCCTTATTTGTCCACATTATTCATACCAACCGCAAACACAAGGTGAATAACCATTTTGATGTTGGTGTTTACTGCAGAACACCACATCAGTTTTGTTTTTCAATGGTAGTATTGTCCATGTTACCCTGTTTCAGTTTTATGGTGGCAAAGAAGGACACATCTTGATCTCTGTCTGATTGCAGGGCTAGAATGGTCTCTTCTGCAGCTTCTAGATGAGGATTGCCAACGCTTTTAAAATAAGCTAGAATAAGGGGAGAGAAAGACAAGTTCAGTCAGAGCCAAAAGAATAAACTCTAGGGTGTAAGTAGTGCAGAAATACAGAGGATGCCAAAACCACTGGGGTATCTCATCCAATTTATAAGCTTCTCAGAGAAACTACAGGAAGCTAAAGAAGCTGACACAGAAAGAGAAATATGCTACTTCTTACTCATCTGATTAGGTACTTAAGTATTTAAGAGAATTTCTTTTTGCTGAGCCCTAAAAGGAAATGTATCAAGTAGAAGCAAGCTCAGGAAGCTGCCACTGTACAACGCATTACAAAGCATTCTTTGTACTTCATTCTGAAAAAAAGATAGGAGAGGAGATTTCCGTGCATCTTCCTTTGAATAAACAGAAAACAGCTGATTTTTTTTTTGTTGTTATTAAGGAACTGTAGTACAGAAAATTGTAGCAGCACACAAAGTTACATTCTCTGCTAGTACAGCTGCTAGCTCAAGACTGAAATGACAAAGAAACCCACTTCAGAAAGAGGCATAACACTTCACCTGAAGGACCCCAAAGACGACTGCTTCATTAGCGTAAAGGTTTGAAATACAACAAAATAACCTAACAGGTAATTTAAGGAAAACTTAAGTTTACCAAACCCGGAGCAGCAGCGGCTGCTCTGAGCAAGGGCAGGGCCGCCCCCTGGCGGCTGGGCCACGCCACCCGCCCGGCCCCAGCGCTGCAGCGGCGCAAAACTCCCGTTTTCAGTAAAAACGGACCCAAACAGCCCTTCACCAGTTGAGCCAGTTTACGAAGAAGTGCACTGGCAGAGGCAAGACAGCATTTGAGAGACGTTAGTTCTGACAGAGGAAATGAAGCAGCGCACCTTTCTCCAGCAAGGTCTGCCGAAGAGCCTTGGCGAGCAGAACCCTGACGTTCGGCACAGGATCTGAAGCAAGGCTTAAGAGACTGGGGAGTAGATGTTCAACAAACTGGTCGACAGGCATACATTCTTCTTCTACTACAGCCTACAGGATAAACACACAACATGAGAAAGCAAGATTTATATTAGAAGTACACTGTTGGTCATTCCTTTCCTTCTTGTCCTTAATCTGGCCTGTATTAAAAAAGTCAGCGTTTGAACAAATACACCCTGTGTTGGTGAAACAATTACAGCCTTTGAAATACTATTATGAAAACAGGTCTTACCATTCGAAAGTTACCTAATGATGACCCAATAAGAAAAGTAACTTTTACAGCTCTTGTAGGAAATACCACCCTCTCACTTCTCATTGCCCTTTTGCCCCTCACTCCACCCCTGCTCCTCATGGCTACTGAAGCATTTTGGGTTAGGGGGTGTGTGTGAGTGGGTAAGTAGAAATAGAGGGAAACAGTTTCTGACATCTAGTGCCCACTGGTAGTTTGAAGAGCTCTTGTGGACATTTATCCTAGCATGTCAAAGTACTACAAAATACATCTCTGTTTAGGACTTCAGTTCTTGACTTTGCTACCAGGATACCAGAAAGTACAAGTATCAGCTATTTCAGCTGGAGGCACAGACCAAATCAAGGACCACAGCTTCAACACTGGACTGCCAGATGCTACTACTGAGACCAGGCCAGCTCTGCCACTGTTTTCTGTAAACCCATAGAATCACAGAACCAAAAAACACGTCAGTCCAAACTTCAGTTTTGCCTACACTGCTGAAAAGCCCCAAACTGGCAACACATTAAACGTGCACAAAAAAACACCAGAAAGACAGAACATTCCAACCTGACAAATGAAGGCAAAAGCTTGTCTTCCAACCCACTTGGAACAGTGACGAAACCTCACAACAAGTTCATTAATGAAATTTAATCCCAGTGCATTTGCATTGTTTGCGTAGAACTTCTGTAGAATTGCTACAACCTGGGAAGGAAAGGAAGAGGGAAGTGGAAAAGGAGGGAGGAAAAAAAGAGCTGAGACTTAAGTTGTAGCCCTCAAATTTAAAAAAGCATCATTTAATTTGAATTCTACAAAGGGACACCAAAAACTGTATACAGTGTGATCAGCTGTACTTGAAGAATTTAATAAATTACTGTGCTTATTACGGAGAAAATAAAGCACAAGCTTTAAAAAAGCTGTTTGTTCAGGTGAAACAGAAAAAAGTCAAAATAAAATTAAATCAACCATTAAAATAATGCCCATTCCCATGGTGCCATGAAGAAGAGGAGATTGAAGGAATCTTTCTACTCATTCAGAACACCCATGGGATAATGGCATTACCATGAAGTTCATAATAGATTGAGTCAACTTTGGGGAAAGCAGTAATTTTTAAATTTTTTCCCTCAACAGGGGGGTAAGAACTCCAAAATCTTCTATATCCTGGTTTTCATCCAGTTGAAGATACATCTGTCACTCACATAACTAAAGTCTTTCTCTGTTGGTTTTATCTATGGAAATATGACAACTCAAAGTATCTTTTAAAGTTTTCACTTTTTTCCATATCGTTTACAATGTTTATCAAAATGTATCTGTATTCACCCTACTTGTCTGAAATAAAACAATGATTTCGGGTATTCCTCTCAAGGATCATTTTCTTCCTCTCCTGCAACAAATGACCTAAACCCCCTACCAGTTTGAAGGAGATCCACCGAACTTCTGAAACTTTATCGGAGCAGAGTGTTAGTGCAATGTGTCTTAAGTAGTCATAGACGTCATTGGGATTGTAGAGTTCCAGTATCAGGATCAGCTGCCTGAAACACAAAGAAAGTGATTAAGTCTATCTAGTGCAACACTAACCTGCTCCAATTATACCATCTGGTAAACATAGGGAAGGATCAGTTTGGAGCCTCAAAAATACCATGGTTATTGGAAAGCACTCGAACAATCTTCTCTTTACTTTATAAAGCTGCACACATGTATTAAAAAGGCACATGCTTTAATCCATCAAGGAGTCCAAGAGAAACTTTTAACCAAACTAGGTGTACTAATGAATCAAAATTATCCCAATAACAACAAAAGCTACAAACGGAAGTACAATAAAAGGTTTCTTTGCAATGACAGACCAGTATCCTGTACATTCTTGCAACGTAAAAGTGAAAGATTAATTTCAGTGTAAAAATCTACATTTCAGAAAACAGTTTGTATCTCAGAACTGCACAGAACTCCCTCTAGCCACACCACTGCGGGTAGTCACCAGCAGCCGTGCACAGCCCAGCCACTAAGTGGCAGCCCTCCACTAGATGTCAGGGAACCGCCGCACAACACTTGCACGGGAGTGAGGTTTGGTTTGCTGTGCCAAGCTACAAAGGGAGGGTAAATCCTCAATAGCCCAAACAAAGCAACCAGATAAACATGAAGGTCAGATTTTAGCTGCAAACTATGCCTACAAGCATTCTTTGGGTGCTACAAACAGGGCTTGTAGAGTAACATCCCACAATTCTATCTCCATTATACACACAGTCATACAGAAAAACCAAATGAATAAGCTAATTTAAGAACTTGTTTTTCATACACATTAGAAAAATGTCTTTGTACATACATTTCACTGATTTCTACAAGGCAGTCTAGAACTGAATAAAATCTGAAGCCTTTCCGAGTAGTATTTATCAGATTGTCACATTTCATAAACTGCAAGCAAAGTTTCAGTCATGCTTGATTACAACACAACTTCCCAAGAAACCCCAGAACCCCAAAAACCCCAAACAGCCAGTGGCTTTTAGGATAAGTTCCTTAATAAAGATTGGTCATAATCTTTTAGCTCTTAATTAGCATGTACTATCTTCTAAATGTAATTACCTATTTCCAAGTTGGTAATACAGATTAAAAATCAGAAGTTAATAAAGTTACATACTCTGCCAGCTCGTAACGGAACCTCCAGTTCCTGCTGTTATCAGTCACCACAAATTCCTGAAGTTGGTAAAGATACTCTCGCCTTTTGTCTGCATGAAGTAACTAAAGGAAAAATATTACTAGTATAAAACTGATAAAATTCAATACTTGCAGTTCTCTGGTATATTATTCTATTAATTCTTAAGTGCATTTTCCTACTTGGAAGCAAGTGATCATTCACAAGATGCAACTAAAAACCGTACACAATTAGCTGAGTGCCTGGACACACAAAACTGACATCCAAAAATGTACATTACCATCACTTCTACAGGGGCACCCATCAAAACATCATCTCTGGGCATATGACTGAGCAAACAAAAAACTAAGGATTTGCGTTTGTTATGCAGCAGCGCATCAGGATCTGCTCTCATTCTCTCCCAGCCCCAAATACAAACTGCTCATGGTTCAACTTTCCAGCTGGACTGCACAAAATATTAATTCCTTTTTACAACAGCTGCAGCATTTACAACCCCATTTACGATTGGTTTTCAGTTTTGGTATTTTGTTGGGATATGAGAAAGAAGCAAGGGACCTTAAAAAAAAAAAGCAACAGACGTACACACAAAATAGCAGTATTGCACAAAACTAAATGTGCAATTAGATATTGATACGGGCACATCTCATTAGAAAATTCTTAATATAATGGAGTCAGAAAAAAATTTATCTTGAAAAATTAAATTACACTTTCCTACCTTCAGAAAGTCATATAGATGTTTAAGGACACCAATACGCACTTCATCCAGATCTTTCAAGAATCCATTGAAAATTGGCACCAGATCAGCAGCTGTTAGCTGATCCCCCAGAATAACTGCGAGTTCATGTATGGAGAAAGCTAGTGTCCGACGTACCTTCCACTGGGAACAGTTTAAGAAGGGAATTAGATTAGGCACTGTAACTAAAATAGAGAAGCTTTTGAACTATGCCTGTGTCAGGACAAACTGCAGAAGAACAGGCCCAGTGAAACAGCAGTAGAAAACATTAGTCTTATTTATGAAGTTTGATTTAAATCTTAAATCTTGCATTTGTAGTGGACATTTAATCCCTTATAAGAAAGTATACAATGTTATAACTTCAGCACAAAAAAACTGAACAAGAGAAGCTATTCAAAATTCTGATACATTATTAAACACCACCACCGCCCCCCTTTTTTTTCCTTTTACCTGTACATCTGAGGCCAGCGTCTCATATGTGTCTTTCAAGCAGTGCCAGTTCTGCCTGCCCAGGGTTAAGGCCACCCCAGGAAGGCTATAGGCACAGTGCTTGGCTATCTCAGTATCAACAGTCTGGGCTCGAGCTGGGTCAGTCATTGACAGGTACTGGTCTAATAAAGGTTGAGGTATGATATCCTATAGATAGAGACAGTACATCAGCAAGACACACTTTAAGACCCTAAGAAAGAAAATACACCTGTTGTGCTACAGTATTCTCTTGCTACTAACCATCTGGCAGCTAAACGCAGAGGCAGGACCTCCCTTTCGTGGGCTAGCTTTACCAAGTGTAAATGACTCCTAGTTTTTTGTCCTCTCATTAGGACAGAGCAGTCGACAAACAGTACTTGTTACTTTATCAACATGTTGCATCAAACCAAACTTAAAATTTCTTTGCTGAAGACAAACAGTAAATCCAGTGACAAAAGAGTATTGTCAGTGCCTCCCTTGGTTGTACAGACTGCCTCTAAGACACTGAAAAGGCAACAAAAGTTTCCTAACCTTCTGATTTAAGATAGAGTTCTCCTCAAATGCCCAGAGCATTTCTTCGTATTCTACAACTCATCAACTGCAAAAGCTATCACGTATTAAGGGTAAGATGAACTGTATCCAGAGCACCTAACTGTTTTAGTGGAGCAATTTTAATCACCTGTAATTTTGACTTGTCATCTTCAAATGGTGGATTGTTTTCTTGCTCTTTCTTTAAAAATACACTGGTTCCTCTCTGTTGTTCCTCTGAGTCCTGTAAAAGGACGTACTAGCCAGTGAAATGAATTCGACTTACTGCTGTTTGGGGTATTTCAAAGCATCACACACCACAAAACAAAGCAATTCAGACACAGAACAGCCTTTTACAGACAAAGCCTTATTCAGTGTGTTTATACAAGTACAAAAAGACAACAGAGTTGTAAACCAGGACAAACACTATTAAGACAATAGCAGCAACAAGGGGAACAGCAGTTAGATTTACATCTAAAAAAAGCAATTTAATTTAACACAAACTCAACATTCATACAGATTTTGGATGTTTACTTTTACTCCACTCTTAAATAGTTTGTCATCTTGGCATGAATTTAAATTATATTAAGCAAGACAGCTTAGCAGTTGGTCCAAGTCACTCAACACCATGATAAAAGCTTTACCTATTTTAGGTGGAACAGCTGGAAATTCCCAAGCCTACTAAATTATCAAGCACACACCTCTCCCCAAATATCAACAAAACTTCAACAGAATTAAAAGGTCTGAAAGACCAAGAACATACAAATTTTTAAAGTTCACACAGTATTTTACATTTTAATTCATACAGGTTTTATCTATGAACAAAAACTGCACATAAGAACTTTACTTTGTATTTCACAATTAGCTCCAGCAACATTAATATTGTGCAAACAATTCATTTTACTCCTAACTCTACAATGAAGAAATAGTAACCAGGAACTGTGTGTGTGCCACCATGTGATTCAGTCTCGTGTCTGAAGATAAAAAACTAATTTTAGATTCATTACAGTAAGATGTGAGACTGTATTTGGTATGCTTCATCTGAAAAAAACCTACAAGACTAATGGAAAACTTTAACTCTCTGGTAATTTGTGCGCAAACAGAAATAGTAGCCCTCAATAGCTTTTCTCTTCCTTTTTTATCGTGTAGCAGTGTTCCAAGGCTTTAGATCAGAAATGGGTCAGTTCTGCCAGGGACTACATGCACAGTACTTGACCTGGAGAACAATGCATACTTACTGTGCTTTTCAGTATACTGGTGGTACATTGGTCACTGATGTTATCCTGGGAGGCAGGGGATGAGAGACTGTCTTCCTCCACCTGGCTGCAGGTAGCATCTGAAACAGCTGTTTCATCTGAAACAGTTTTGTTCTGAAGTTTGCCACTGCTTTCTTCCATTTTTCTGGTCTCATAGTCACCAACAGAATCAAACTGAGCAGCTCTGAGAGCAGCAGACAACACTTGGACCTGAGCTGTTTAAAGCAAAAGATGACTATTTAGTCTCCCTTCTGCACTTAAAAGCATTAAACTTGTAATTAGTAAATCTAAACCCATAAAAAGTCCAGAGCTTTTTACTTCTGAGCTGCACAGAAATGGCATATTATGAAACATTTGGTCTTAGAAAGGAAATGCCCATTAGTCTTCCACAAAACAAAGAGCAATGATTTTGATGTACTAACATTTTCAGCAGAAGTAGTCTACCAGTATCTGCCACCAAAAGATATTTCTAATAATCTGCTGTAACAGGACACCACAGCATACTGGGCTCACCTCCCATTCTTCATATTGTCAACCATTTTAATACAAATTCTTTTGATAGCTTCCTTACTTGCTTCAACTGCTTGGAAAGGGCATAAATACACATTTAAACAATTCTGAGAAAAACTTTATCCAGAGTAGGGAAACAGTCAAACCATCTCTGAACAGTTTTGCAGAAGTAGATAGAGAACGAAAGGTCAGGTTTACCACTGCATCACCAATGAAGTTAGGACAAGCTGTGTTGGTGCATTACTCTACATTGTTGCTAGGAACATGAAGTTCCTAAGAGTTCAGAATGCCGAAACTATCATAGCTGCATCTGCACAAACCTATAGCAAGTACAGTCTTAAGACAAAACATGAAAGCATATTTTAAAAATTAAGAACAGCAGAATACTTTAGAAATAAGGGGAACAGACAGCTTAAAAAGGCAGAATGAATTACAAGTGTATTTATGAATGTTGTAGCAGTTAGCACAGGATGAAAACAGAAACTAATATGTCCTACTCCTGAGAGAAGCAAGATTGTTCTGCTCAAGTCATGGAGGGGGAAGTGGGAGAACTGATTTCCTCCAAAGCCTCTCCGAAACCCTCATTTCTCACTGTAATGCTGCCAAGCTAACATGTCTACATTTGTCTTAGTTTTACATAATGGGTTTTTTCTTTTTCCCATTTGCTTTTACTCTCCGCCTTTTCTTTCCAACACTCATTTACACTTTTTCCCTTTCATTCAATTTCCATTTTTTCCTTTACTGCTTCAAATTTTTTCACCTCTTCTTTTCGATCTTTCCCTTTCTTTCTGATCCTTTGCCTCACACATGAAGAATTTACTCTTCCAAAACCTTTCCAAATGGCTATGGGGAGCCACCTAAATATGCCCCATTGCCAGTTGGCTTACTACTTCAGCAAGGAATCCAAACGATGCTGCGGCTCCTGCAGATAGGACTTTGCATGCGAAGGGATGAATAAGTGGGCAGATGAAACCTGCTAATTCACTACAGTGCTTGAGACTTGGTGGAACAAGAAACTGAGTTGATTACAGATGACAGGCTGATCCAGGAGGGATTTGGCCCCAGAAACATGTAAGCACCCCGCTATGAGGCTGCCAGCACTTTAGTATGTTAATCAATGGGCTTGTATGGGGACACTAACAAAAGATGATGTGAAATTAGAGCTATTCTCACTCAACCAAATACTAGACAAATTCAACTGGTAACAGGTAGATCTGTCCCTAAACCCACAACACTTACAGTACTTAAAGACAGTTTTCACTAATTTCAGCAAGCTCTCTTCCCTTTTGTACTTAGATCCAATTTATTTCTCATGTGAACAGGAGCTAGAACACTACCCCAGCTGTTCTAGAAATAACCCGGGTCTTGTGAAAAAGGCTGTTGAATAACTTTCTCCTATAGTTTGCTACTCAAAAGAAGTCTCATCACCTGATGAACACCAAGCCAATTAAAATGCAGTCAAGGGTTTTGTAGAGGCCAGGAGAAAACCTGATTTTACTGTTGGAGAGTCTCACCTTGAACATCGGGATCATCTATGTGCTCCTGTAAACTTTCTAGAACTTTTTTTATTTCACTACTAGCAACACAGTTATTACATGGCACAGAGCAGTTATCTTTGTGCTTTTCAGTTTTGAATTGAAGCAACTCCAGATCCTGACTTATATCAGGCAGAGGAGGGCGCCAGTATAGAAAAGTATTAAATACATCCTCAGCAGACTGTAGCCTTGAGCTTGTTCCAGGAAAACTGCTGTCCTTGGTGACTTCTATGACACCAGCAGCAACTCTGTCACCCTGAGACAACTGAGACGCATCTTCTCCAGGACTGGTACAACAATCTGAACTTTCTTCCCATGTATCTTTGTTTAGGTTCTCAACCGAGAGCTTCGTATTAACTTCAGCTGAAGTCTCCTCAGTTGACGATTCTGGTTTGATTTCCATTGGTTGTTCTGAACTGGAAACAGACACACAGAATTATCCTAATAAAAGTCTGTAACACTACTTTTCAGTGAAATACTTTGTAAGACAGCAACAACTACAGGAACTTAATTTCTCTGCAGGGCAGAATCTGTATTACAACTATGCTTTGCTTCACCAGTTTTCCCTTTACCCTCCCGTAAAGCCATCAAAGCAAATTTTTCAGTGATGTGACCACACTCAGACACAGATGTGATCTCCCTCTTCACACCTTTTCTGGAACTATTTTCTCAAGTCGACATTTTTAGCCCTGAACAGCAACTAAAAGAATTATCTTCCTTCTTCCCCCTTCCACTACACTATGTCTTTCCCATTACTTTACCTGGACAACATAGTGTTTGTACTGGAGGACATTAAAGTTATATTGTGGCTTGGCTGACAGGAATTGGAATTCACGTCTTGCATCGATGGTCGGATACTCAGTGTCCCATCTTCACGAATGTAAAGACCAGCACTTGAAGGGTTTGCAAAGGTAGAAATAAATGGGCCAAGAGACTGAAAAGCAGCCTGACGAACCTGTGACAGTAGAAAGACAGCAGTCAGCATTCACACAACTCCCTAAGAGTTAGTGCTGAAAAATAAAAGTTTTGTTCAGTATTTTAGTAAGAACCAATTGCTTCTTACTCAAACAGCTTCATTTAATACCAGATATAACCAATTATCAAGTAAGTGACACCTAAGCAAAGGGTGTTAGAATATTCAGCATGTATCTACAATCATAGTCAGGAAATTTTTTACAAGTTATAAATCTGAAGGACATCACTGCCTACCTCAACTAATACTATTAACACAATCCACCTATTCTCAGAAGGGTGTTTACACTTAAAAACTGTTGATAGAAATTCTAAGTGAGAGGAAAAATAGGATAGTATCTTATTAGAGGAGATTACATTTTAGTAGATTGGACTAATTCCAGCAAGTTTAGTTTAGAGAACGAGTTACTTACCCATCTGCAACTGTCACTAATGAGACTGATAAACAGCGGGGACAGTTTGCTTCTGCGAACTTCTGGGGATGTGGTATAAGACACTGCCATAAAGCATTCAGCACAAGCTTTTCTCATTCCCCAAACACTATCAGAACAGAGTTCAAAGAACTTGGGAATCTGCCAAATATAAGCAAAACCAAGACTAATTAAAGACTAAACAGACAGCACCATCTTACTGTTAAGGTATTTGGAAACTGGAGACAATGATAACTCAAGAGAGAATAAAGTGAGTGAACAATAGAAGAAACAGAGACAGGTTAAAAACATATTAATTGAAGAAACTGGAAAACTATCTGTCTGTCTTTTACTTCATTTGGATTTTGCATACAACTATATGCACTAGGAAAAAATAGGAATAATTATTAATGGCCTATTTTTCCCAGAATTGTAACTTGACTGATTATCTAGTTCAGGGAAAAAAAAGAAAGAGTAATTCTGAAGTGTGTGAGGGTGTGTGTACATATGTATATGTATATCTATATATCTGCTGTCGGTTACATTTTTTAAAATGTTTTGCAGAACAAGAACATTCCATTTCTATTCATTCATTGTTTTGCTATATAATTGCAACCAAAGCCTTCTCCAAACCAATTAAAAATACGCACACACCCCAATTAATTTACAGAGAAGACAAAAAACCTCATTATTAAACTTTTTGAACTGAGAAATACAAGTCTTGCAAATGGATTTTGATTTTACATACCAGCAGTCTTTCTGTAGCTTCTTGCCCAACTGCATTACAAATGTCACCAAAATTAGCTGCACAAATCTAAGAAATAAATAGAGTCATGAATAACATCCTGGCTCTCTCAAGTGATTAGCTTTATTATCAGCTTCACCATGCATTATTTATCCCATGTAACAACTGCATGTTTCACTGTTCAAATTTCAGCCATGTAACTACATCCTGTAATATTAACTCATCCTGAACAAAGACTCATTAGAGCAAGCAATAAAGGTTTCTGCATGAAAAGCATCATCTACTTCAGTAATCATTAAAAATGACTAATAAGCCTAATTGAAAGTTTAAATTACTTTGAACAGCAGCTGTCAAAACCAAAGCAGACTAAAATACGGTACTAGGGTCAGGACTTAGGTGTACTGACAGAACTATCTTTGCTATTGCTGAGACTGGCTTAAGTACTTTGCTGAAGCAATGTTTAATCATGGTCTCAAGTTAGTGCCATTTACAGTATATTACAGACTCTATAATTAAGACAAAAGGGATATTCTCTCATGTTGTAAAAAGATGTTGCCAAAACCTGAAACCAATTAAGACAGGGCCATGTTAATGTAGAATTTATTCATTCTATATGTTTATTGAGAAGGCTATAATGCAGCTCAAATTCCAACAAGCCAAGCTTATGTTAAGGAGCAAGTGGAAGCTCTGCATAACCCTTGTCTAGTCAAATATTTTAAGTCTTCTTATGTTACAAGTTTCCTTTTGTACTCTTACATGAATTGAAATAAGTCTTACCCTTTTTGGATTTCTTCTTTCAATAATACCAGATTTTTTTTTTTTTTTTTTTTTTTTTTTTTTTTTTTTTTTTTTTTTTTTTTTAAAGAAAGGATGTCTCAAATATCTACTGCTTCTGAATTTCTGGTTTCAAAATAAGATGATGAAGATCAGGCAACCTGTTTGGCATCTTATAACCAAGCACAGTAGCTTAAAAAAGGTTGTGCAAAACTATTAAACGTGCAAGATCAGTTTAAATGCTACACTAAAGCTATTCACTAAGAACTGTTATCTATTTTTTTACTAAACTACAGGAACTGTAATCATGTCAATAAATAAAAACTGCTCTTCCAAACTCTGCCAAAGTTCATCAGCTAAAGTTATGACTAAATTATTCAGGAACGCATCTGAACAGCAACATGCAAATTAACTTTGTAAGTGGTTTAAGATTGAAAACACACCAACCTTTCGGACTTGAAACAACTTCCCATCACTGCACAGTTCACAGAAACGAGGAAGCAGCATGTGTTCAACTGTTGATCTGCTCAACATAGAAGCCATTTTACATATTATCTAAAACCCAAGAAGAGGATATGTGTAAGGAAAGTGACATAGCTTGTGAGCACAGCCAAATATTACTCCTAAAAATTACTTCCAAGAGCAAGAGAGCAACTACCATCAAATAGATTTAACTGCTACATATTATTTGTCTTCTTATACACCACTTATGTGAAACACAATTATAGCTTTTATTAAAAATCATTCTACACCATTGTGCCTGAACATTTCTGCACATAATGAAGTCGTTTTATCCAGTTAAACTTTATTAATAAATGGATTTTCAAGGTGTCTTACAACATGACATACACTGATACTCTGTACAGAGAAGACAAAAGTTCCATTGCACTAGCTAGCATACCAGATCACACTCTTTAAGCATATTAGAAATATCTTAAGCTTAAGCATGCAAGTAAGCCCCTTGGTGTTAACAGGGCTGTTCAGATACTTAACAACAAGCAGAGTCCCAGCTCATTATAGGCTCAGACAACATGGCTAAATAAAAGTTTGCCATACAACAGGAGAGAAAAGGGACTGTAAAACAAACTAGTTATTTATGTGAGCTAATGCACACCGTACAGGAATCATCCTCAAATTTTAGGAGCCAAATTCACAGCATAATTCAAGTTAGTAACACGCTCATTAGTTCAGCTTTCTTTGAGGAACTGTTAATTTTAACCACGTTACAAACCATGTTTCTGATGTGAAAATCAGGTGCTTTGGACTGTATGTTTTCTTTCAGCTTCCACTTTATTGGACAATTTGCTATAACTCCTATTTGCAACAGGAAAAAGGAAGAGGCTCCCATGCACCTTTCTACTCAACTGTTCTGCCTGCAGCACCAGGAAATTAATGCTCACACAAGTATTCTCTGATTAACAATACTCATCTTGTCATTTTTATTTTTACAAACTTACTGGAGCTTTCTACCTCGACAAAACCAAGGTTTTATTTGTAAAAACATTTGCTTTCTTAATTAGAATGCTAAGTAAGCACCATTCAAGGCCTTTCCCACAAATTTTAAAACTCCTAAAAGGCATCTGGTGCTCACATGTCACCCTGGAAAACTGCCTAAGTAATACCCAACTCCCAAACAAAAGAAAAATCTAGTTAGTAAATCTGTTTTACAGATCTAGTGTCAAGTATCCATGCTGAAATATAATTACACACCAGCATTTTTCTGTGGAGTGAACTGATTTCTTAAAAGTGAACAGGGAATTTCTTTTTCAAAATGCTTAAGAATTAAGATCAGGTCATCATTCATACTTTTACAACATTACTGTGAAACCTGGTAAAGCAAATGTAAAGAAGCTGTTGGAGAACATAACAGCCTTAACAAGAATTAAAACAAGGCTGCCAAGAACCAAATGTATTTTAAAGGTTTTTGGCTACCATTTTGACAACCATTTAGCATCCTCAAGTATAAAGATGGTCTCTTTAAACCTGATCTTTACAAAAAGTCAGAATAAAAAAAGATCTGTTGTATTCAACTAAAAATTCGAATATGTTAACAAAATAAACACAAAAGTTTTGATTGCTTATTTAATGTCAGCATTACTGCTGGGCCTCATCTTATTTACTGATATAAATGAAAAGGAGTGGTAGTTCTTGTTACTACTCAATTCAAGTACTGAATACATCATCAACCATCTATAGGAAAAAGCCTCTCATCATTTTGAGAAAAACTACTGAGTGTGAAGATCTGATATATTACATTTTTAAGCATACAATAACATTCTTGTCCCCAGTTACTGTACTATATAGCTCAATTCTCAAGTAGTACTATTTCAAAAAGATTCCTCAAGCATTTCATTGATGCAGAAGCCCAGAAGCCCAGATTTCTTCATAGCACAAAAGGTATAGATAAGACCTAGAGAAAGCCTATCCAAAGTACCTCTACATTCAGCTTAAGGCATCGGTAAATAGTACTCAGTGCAACAGTAATCAGGACAACTTTCCTTTCTTGCTGAATTCCATTACGATAATTTTTAACTTCTCAGTAAGGTGCATCAAGTCCTGACCCTGCTCAAATTCTTTGAGAATTCACATTGTTTCAATGGTGCTCAACACTACAAATGACAAAGAAACCTACAGATTCAAGGCCTAACAGCTTGGCATACTTAAGCTTCAACTGAATCAAATCATCAGGTTCTCAACTCACAACAGAGCAACTAACAAATAGAGAAGGAATAAAACAAACTGAAATAGTAATGGTATAGAAAGTTCAGGTTCAATGATTAATGTAAAAGTCTCAGGACATTAAGAAAGCAAGTACAATTTTTATTTTCTGGGTTTTATGCTCATGAAAATCTCACACAAATTTGTTATATTCTAGAAGAGCTTCATAATAGCACTGCCAAAAGATAAAGAAGAAAAGCAATTAAAAAAGTAGAAATGGAAGATTTCTTCTAAATTCACTTACATTCACAGCTTCCACCTTGTACTCATCATCACTGTCAGGAGCAGAGAGGTCCAACAGAATTGGACACACTTTATTTTCAATGTCACTCTGAGCAACAAGATCTTGTTCTAGCAGTATAAGCAGTGCTTCTTGACCTGCCTTTCTAACCTATTAACATGAACAAACAGAACAAAAAAGTACATCACTATAAAAAACATTTACTGATACAAGAACCACAGAAGGCCTGTCTTCAATGAACACAGTTACAAGTTAGAAAACCAGAAAAGCCTCTTTGTTTTAATACTAGAAGGGCTTAGTAATACTGAAGTTTAATATAATTGCTAGGTTGCATTTAATCAAATTCTGAGGAGAAACCAAAAGATGATGCAGAAGACAGGACTTTTAAGTCATGACTCCTGTAACAGACTGTGTCTATATGCTGCTAGGCAAATCCTCTAAGTTCTCTACTATCTTCTAAGGAAAGCATTAAAAAAAAATTTCAGACCTCCCCAGCAAAGTGTACTGAAACCAATAAACACAAAGCACTACATAAAAGTTAGGTATCAATCAACATGGAATTTCCTATTATCTCTTCCTCATGCCTTAAATTCACTGAACCACACAGATTTTTCTAATGGTTCAACTCGCATTGTCTGTTTTTCCTACCTGATTGTTAACATCTGTGAGGTATCTCACTACTATGGGCATAAGGTATTCAAAAAATGCTGTTGGGAATTTTGGTCGACTTTCTTGCAGAAAAATGGCAATAGGAGGTATTTGTTCCATCAACTCTGTACGCACAGTTGGTTCTAGTAATAAAAAGAAAGTCAAAACTACATCAGTAAATATGAAATTAAGATCAAGTACCTTAAGGAAAAAGTTGCATTTGTTTAATGCTTTAACACCAGAGGAAAATAAAAATACTTAAAGTAGCAGCACCACTGAGATTGCCTGTTCTTAAAGGAAGCTGAACAAAATAGAACAACCTTATATACATCACAGTACAGAGACTTGGGATCAGTTCCCAAATAAATCATATAAAATAAGCACACTAGCTAGAAAATCCAATCACCATGAATGTATCTACATGAAGTATTAAAACACACAACTGTTCTACACCTACATGCCACAATGTATGTCTAGATGTAACAAATTCCTTGAAAAATATTACTTTGGGCCTATATTAAATAAGAGCCTTTCATTCATAAACCTACCATACAAAATACTCCATAAACAGGAAAAAACCCAACTTGTTTTCACTGGAGATACTGCTGTTGGATGATCTAGTTTCTTTAGTTTTTGAGAAGGCAGTGCGTGAACTAAAGTTACTGCCTGCTGTATTGTCACTTATGTAAAATAAGTTACAGAAATGTGAAAAAAAAACAAAAACAACTTTCAAACCTGCATCTTCAGAGAGCCTGACCACTATTTCCATTACAGTCAGGAAGTCTTCTTCATTATTACTGAAATCTCGAAAGACATCCAAAAGACCTCTGGCAATAATTTGCCTGTGGAGTGAACAACATATTAATTGCCTTAATATCCTGCCAATAATATGCAAGTGGAACTTATCAAATGTAAATGGGCACCTTAAAAAAGATCTTCTCTGAACATTCAGTTATACATTCAGCTACACAGTTTCTCCATATCTCAACAAAACAAAGACAGGAGTCAAGAGATCTTATTCAGCTAACAAGAATGAAAGCCTCCTTTTATGGAAGGTGTTATACAAAAGTTATTCAAACAGAAATAGTATCAGTCATGTGCTTCGTAGAGTAATAACAGAACTAGTGACACTAACATCCACAATGTTATCAGACTCAGTCATCATCAGGTGTAGCTGTTGCACCCTTACCTGTTAAATATGTTATCACTGAAGGCATATTTTTCTAGACGAGCCAGTGGAGTTAAGTTATCCTGTCCAGGAATATCCAAGAATGCCGTTATCCTCATGCTATCACAGTCTGGTCCATAATCTTCAAACCCAACTTGAAAGGTAAGAAGAGTAACAAAAAAAAAAAATTAAAAAAAAGAGTCAGCAAGAGATGTTACAGTGTAAAATACACTATACCAATAGCTCGCTCTCTTTTTAGAGCTATTCTTCAAGGTAAGTGTACATCACTGGAAAGGGCTTACAAAAAAGCCCCTAAAAACTTAAGTTGTACCTAACAAAGTCAAGAGCAACACTTGCGTATAAACCTGTAAATTCAAGCTTTGAAATTTAATTAATTTCAACTGTCATAAAATCCTTGGCTTTTAACACATTTGACTGAGTGGCTTATCCACATGAATTATGAATTAAGTGGGCTCAGCTGACAAAATTGCATGACACAAACTGACCAATGCATTCAAAAGGAAAGTAAGTCCCATTAAAAGAAGCTGAAATTTTAACAATGACAGTAATTCCCAAACTGTATTGCTTTAAAACAGCAAATTCCTGGGTCTGTTACAAAGAATGTACATTTTACCCACTGTAGTGTGCTGGGGGTTTTGGTATTAGGAGAGGGGGCTACAGCAGTAGTGCCCTGTGAGAAGCTTCTCAAAGCTCCCATGGCTCCAAGTTGGACCCCTCTGCACCAAGGCCGAGCCAATTAGAGATGGCGGTTGTGCCTCTGTGATAATGTATTTAACATTATCACAGAGGAACCTGGGGAGAGGAGGAGTTGCAAGTAGGACACCTGTGTGAACACCAAGGTCAGTGGAAGAAAGGAGGAGGAGGAAGAGGGGGATGCGCACCAATGCAGAGACCCCCTGCAGGCCGTGGGGAGAGGGCAGGCTGTCCCCCTGCCATCCATGGGGGTCACCGGTGGAGCAGATGCCAACCTGCAGCCTGTGGAGGACCCCACATCAGAGCAGGGGCTGTGCCCCAAGAAGGCCGGGGCTCTGAGGGAAGAAGCCTCCACTGCTGTAGTTTGGTGCTGGGAGAACTGCAACAGGCAGGAGGGATCCACACTGGAGCATCTCAGGAAGAATGCACCCCGTGGGAAGGGCTCACATCAGAGAAAGTTTGTGAAGGACTGTCTCCCGTGAGAGGGACACCACGCTGGAGCAGAGGAGAAAACAAGGAGCCCTCCCCCTGCAGACAACTGAGCAGTGGGACTGACCTCACCTCCCCATTCCCTGGCCCCTGTCGGGGGTAGAGAAATTAGAAGCAAAATTGAGCCTGGGAAGAAGGTAGGGAAAGGTGTTTTTAAGATGTGGTTATGCTTCCCATTGTCCTACTCTTAAGTATGGTTATTGGTAGTGTTTGAATTAAATTGTCATTCCTTTTCTTCCCCTCATGAATCTTTTCTCTGTGATAGTAATGGGTGAGACATCTCTCCCTGTCCTTATTTCAGTTCCTGAGCCTTCTGCTTCATTTTCTCTCCCTCATGTCTGAGGGGGAAAGGGTGAGCAAGCAGCTACCTGGTGCTCAGTTGCCCTCTGGGCTCAAACCACAACAGTAGTTACTGTGCCCCATATATCTAAATCAGACTGGTAGCTTTAGGAAAAACTTCAACTTTACCTTACTTGTGAACAGACTTACCAACTACAGACATTTCCATGTAAACCTACTCTTTCCTAGATCTTTTTTGTACTTGTAGCTTCAGACTTTTAACCAAACATTACCATACCAACTGTTAAAGTTTGCCTCACCAAGCGTTACAGTCACCTAATCCAGTAACATGCACTTGATTAGATTACAGGCAAAAAGACTGAAGAGGAAAGGGAATAGGATAACTTCACTGCCATTTTTTTTTTTTAAATCCATCCTTAAAGGAAAGACAGTGAAATAACATCCCTGCAACATATAAATCTTTTACACAAATTCTCTCATTTCAGCAATGCATATAGGAACACGTACAGCAACCAAACCTACAAAAAGAGTTGCACTAGAGTATTCCTGCTCTGGGTTTACAACTTGCTAATCACTCCTAGAATTATGCACACTTCATTCAAATAAATAATACAGCAACTGTGATCATACTTAAGTACATGCAAATTGTGCCAATACGGCTGCTCATATGCAAGAAGTAGTCTCTCAAACCAGCATGTGTGCTGAGAGTGACAGACACTGAAGACAACAAGCCAGTTTCTGACTTGGCAGGACACAATATTAGGTATTTAAATCAGTAAAAAAGCAGAACTGATAGTAACTTGAAAGCACAATGACAAGCCAAATAGGTTGTGTTTGAAACTGTGCCTATGAGACTATATATAATCTAGGCACTCTAGGTTATGCCTCTACAGGCAGAAACCTTCTGTCTACAGGCAGTGGAATGTACATGGTGCCACCATCCTAAAAAACAGCAGAGCTTTGGCTAAATAACTAAAAGCAAACCAGGACTAGTTTCATTTATAGCAACGGTATCCCCTGTTTGTAAAGTGGGAAGAACAAGAACATCCTCTCCTACTGACACAGTCCGAAGATTAAGACATGTGTATGTGAAGTACTATACATAATCCCTATCTTCAGTATTCTGGTTTAATAAAAAAGTTACAGTCCTTCCCAATGTGATCCCAATCAGTACAAAGCTTTTGCACATCTTAAAGGAAGGTCTGTACTACTTCATAATGCACTCTGAAACTGCCAGTAGGCTAAATTATGTGTATATGTAATCCCACTATCTCCAATATAACATTTCTTCAGGGTTGAAGTGCTCTGCTTTAATCAGAATAACTAAGCTTTGGCTTTACCCTCACTCTTACTTTACCTGTTTGATATTACAAACACTCTTCCCTAAAGAATACCTTAATCTGAGGTGCAGCACAGTGAATGTTGGCTGTAGACTACATTAATATCCATGATAAATCACTTGTTAGATTAAAAATTCCTCTATTACTGAGAGGTACCAAGCCTCAGCTTTTTCCTACAGAAAAATTCCTATTTCATATATAAAACTCTGCTTTCCAATTACTTAACATGAGCCAAAACATTCTCAGAAATACAGTTCATTTAAACAAGAAATCATCTGAACATATTTCAAGCAAAATATTATACCTGGGTCTTCAGGAAAAAAAATTAAAAAGCAGATTAGTTTAAGAAAGCAACCAGTCTCCAAGGAACACAGCTGAATGCAATTCTGAATTCTGCTGTTCTTGCAGACAATATGCTCTGACCAACAAGTTCAACAGGATTCAAATAGAAGCAAGCTGTGGCATTAGAATAAATGTTCACATTTCAAATGTATGCACAGATACTACAAGTGAACCCACAGCGGCATGATCAGAAACATATGATAATTATTAATGGCTTTTTATAATGACTATGTATTGTACCAACACCCTTATATCCATTCAACTGTCATTATTCTTTCTAGTGGCTGTTCTTTATGTATTTTTAAGTTCTGTCAGGTTCCAAACATTTACCTGCACAAGCATATATAATTTATATTGCACAGATCTGTCAGGGATTGATCTGTCCACATGCTCTAGGGCTAGCTTCTAACGTTCCTACCAAGCATAGTATCTGAAGATGTAGCATCCAGCATTTGCTGCTTCAAAAGAAACCTACTGTACCACTGAAAGCTCACAGGAAGTTATACAGCACAGGTAGAATTGTGTTATTTCCTTTCTGAGGTTGCAACAAGCTCCCCATACACCAGCCCCAAACTCCCCAAACCCAGCTCTGACCATCCTATACCTCTGCAATTATAATATATAGATATTTTTAAATCCACACAGATCAGACACTTTCACTAGCTAATTTTTGAGGCTAGCCACCTGTTATAGAAAAAGATTTATAAGAGCTTAAAAAAAAAAATCAATATACTTGCCTTGAACTTTATCTAGTGCCCACCTGTTCTTGAATTAAAAAACAGTCTGAAGTGAAGGCTCTCATCAGTTCACTTCAAATATTTCCAAATTCCTACCAATTAAAATGACACTAAATTAAACCTCAATTCTAAGTTGGACTACAATACTACTCCTGGGACTAATTTCGTAAACATGATGAACATGCTTAATTTTACTACTTAGATTAGTTCTATTATTCATTTAAATTAGCTAAGCACACACCAGTGCTTCTAGGGCCAGAGGGAAAACAGAGCAAACTACTTATGCTCAGGATCAAGAGAGTTAAATACCTAAAATTTTTTCCACACACACTCAGCACACATAAGTAAGGAATCATCATGGCAGAATCCATTTTGTCTGCTCTCAAGAACTTTAATTTTCTTTCTCCATAAAATAAGAAGTCATAGGTATTTACAAGTCTCAATACACTAGAGTACTATAAAGTAATTTTCAGAAAAAAAAAAATGTTCTTAACTTGTCTAATGTTCTTTCATAGGCGAATCAAACATTCCGTATTTTTCCCTCTAATGATATTAAACAAGCAAGTTTGAAATCTGTCCACCCATAAACAAGAATAAATGTGACAGTATTCACAGCTGAGCTTGAGTTCACTATGCCTCCATTTGACCTAGACTCAAAAGCTGCTTAGAGCCTGTAAGAACACCTACAGGGTGACAGGATTTAACTATGCAATTCAACATCGTTAGCTAACATCACTATTCACTTTTCCAGTACAAAACAGTAAATACTAGTGCAGAGTGCAATGATTTAATGAGCTCAAGAAGGTAATTTTCTCTCATGCTTTTCTTAGAAGGAAAAACAATTTTAAAAATACATTTTCTTTAGCTTAATGATGCCCTTTGTAAAATTTTTTTTTTTTAGATGATCCAATATCTTACCTTACAGAACACAAGTTTCAAACTGTACTCAATGAATTTAGGTAGATTTTATTACAGCTTCTTCCCGTATTCAGAGGAACCCTGCAGACCCTCCATTTGTTTCAATGGAATTGATCTTCAATGTGTATAACACTATTTTACTGATTTAGTTAGGTAAAAATCCAGTTCCAGTGATCTATTCCACTGAGATTTTCCTAAAATGCATCACAAACTCTTTGCTAAACTAGTCACTAGATTAGCACAAGTGTCTCAGCCTAGATTGAACATTGCTGTAACACAAATAGAAGACAGCTTTCCATGTCTTCATTCTAAATGCACTATCAAATTAATGAACTTATCTATTTTTAAATCATAAAGTAAGATTTCAATAGTGCTCTAAAATGCACATTTGTTTACATGCTCATCCTGAAACAAATTTTAAGTGACCCATATAAAAAGCTTATTAGTTACTAGTTACGGCAAAACCTTCTTTATCTGAACATTCTTATAAACTTCATGACTCAAACTGGAGTTTTGCCTACAAGCATCAAACTCCTTAATCGACTTACCAGACAAATCCGTTGCAGTCTCAACAGAACAGCCAAAGACTGAATGCTAATGCAGAATGAACACTTAATTCCTAGTGATGGTCACCCCTGGTTCAAGGCCAAGGCCCATAACAGAACACTACAGGAAGTTTGCATTAATTTTCACTGCTTTACACACTCAGCAACCAGAACTGAAACAACATGCTAGTTTGGAGTTTAGTGATTTGGAAGAAAACCGGAAAGGGAACTGGGAACAATTCAGAAAGACCCAATCAATTCAAATAGCTAAGCATTCATTAGCACTATCAAAGGTTGGGGTGGTTTTTTTTATTTTTTTTTTTAATTAGAGCAGAGAAAAATACTTTCACCTCTTGAATAAGGTACTACAGCAACAACTCTTGTAGCTCTTCTGCTAGAGGAAGTCACCACAAAATAGTCTTTAAATCAGCATAAGCACATTGAAGCGTTTCAGCTGGATGTGAGCTGAACACATACATGCTTTCTTTCATCTGAAGTGATGACTTCTAACCAACTTTTTACACTTACTTCCTGCAGCAAGCAATAACCTTTAGTACCTTTTAAAAATCAACTTCTTACAGTGTTATCAAAACTTTAAAACCCTATTTAATACATGTATCTCAAGTACTATCCTCCACACTGAGTACTTCTTAGCTTTCTAGCTTTTCAAATAGATAACTGCATTAAGGAAGATGCTTTTTAATTACAGTTTTAAATTCATTAAGATTCAGAGTTACAATTTATCCATGTAAGAGAAATGTTAAAGATATTTTCAAATACACAAAAATATGAACAAAAAATGAACCAGGAACTCTTACACACACAATCATTTATACATCACAAAAAATCCCAAACTTTTCTTTCTAAAACTTAATCAAAATACAAACATCTCTTTTCTCCGCTACCTACTTGTGAAATGCTGAAACCTCAAAGACTGAGAGGAACTAACAAAATCCCACTGAACGACCTCCTGCCCACAGAGGCAACGTTCCTGCACCTCTTTCCGATGGAATACTTTAGATCTCACTTGTACTCTTAACACTTTCCCGGTGTTTCTGAAGTCCACCTTCCCAAATTATATTATTCATACTAAATTAGAGGCGAGGGATATCCATCTGTTACACATTTTCAAGTACTGTTAAACAGTAATGGTCTTGTACTAAACAAATAGAACGTCTCACAAGAAAAAAAAAACACACGTATCACTTTTCATTTTTTAATAGAAAAATTAATCCAGCATCCCAAGTGCCAAAGAAACCACCCCACATATACCTCTGCTTTCTAACGCAATACAAGTTCTTGTAATTAATCGATTTATCTCAAGTAACAGCTCTTACCAAGCTGTCCGATAGGTGTTCGGCTCTACTCCTCTAACACAACTCTGGACTATGCCAGCTTGAGGTGGAGCTGTTGCCTGGTCCAGGATCTACAATACAGCACTTAACCTAAAACCACCGACTTGTGTAAGCCAACTGCAGTACATACAACAGCGGTTTTTCTTTTATTCCCACTTCCGAGGTGCGCATGCAGCCATCGCAGCAACATCCCGCTAAGGCCGTGCCGCAGGGATGCGGGAACGGCAGAACACACAGCATCCTCCGCAGCCTCTAGAGCATTTAAAAGTCTCGCCCGTTTGAGCTACCGCAGCTAGGGAATCGCTCGGCCGCTCTAGGCTGATTTCCACCGACACAACAGCGGAGCTAATCCTCTAAACCACCGCCGGCCAGAGCCGTTTTCCTCTCCCAGAGATTCATCGCGGGCCATTGTTGGAGAGGCTGTTTACACTGAACCCAGCGGTCCAGCGGCCATTGGACACAGAGAGGATGGTCCCTGGGAAGGCCGGGTTCCAGACACCGCCCCGGGCCTGCCTCCTGCCCGCGGGTCCCCCTTCCCCGGCGGGACAGCAGCTGCCCCCCAACACCCCGCTTCAGGAGGCTGCCCATCCCTCGGCAGCTCGACCCCTCAGCCGGCACTTAAGGGCCTGTAAAACACCAGGTGAGGCGAGGGCCCGCGGCTGAGGGAGGGAGCGAGCCCGCTTCCCCTGTCAGCGACGCGCTCCTGCAGACCCACAAATACCTTGTTAACTCGTGAGCCCTAACACCCTACAAGCTTTCACCTACCAGCGCAAGCAGCCTCAAAGTCCTCCCCTCACCCTAACCGGGATAAAAACGCGGAGAGGGAAGGAGGGCGACAGAAGGACCCCGGGGTGAGAGAGCGGAGGATGGCCTAAGTGTGAGGCAAAAAAATAAAAAACAGTTACTCACAATCATCTAAGTCATCCTGCAAATCCACAAAATACAAAGGGATCCCTACAAATAAAAACAGAAGAGAGATACCGAAGGGTTGGTTTCAGAGGGCTACAGCGAGGACGGCGGCAGCCCCAGCCGAGCCGCCCCAGCGCCGCCCGCCCGCC